TATTACTGCCGGTGTCTTTACAGGTGCCGATGGCGTCTTCTCCGGCGACGCCGCTTCGAAGGAGCTCCTGCAGGGGCAACTTCGTCATCTGTGTCCGCCGATGCCTCAGCATCGGCCTTTGGCGCCTCCAACGGCCCAACGTGCACTGGCGTCTCTACGGGCGCCGTCGGCTTCTCCTCCAGAGGCTCCGTCAGCGGGGATGGGCTGTCTACACCAGCCAGCTCTTCATCTTCTGTCGACTCCGCCTCCTCCTCAGGCGTTGGCATCGTGAGAGGGCCAACCTGCACTGGCGTCTCTACGGGACCCGTTCGCTTCTCCTCCAAGGCTGCGTCGGCGGGGATGGGCTGTCTACACCAGCCAGCTCTTCATCTTCTGTCGACTCCGCCTCCTCTTCAGGCGCTGGCTCCGTGACAGGCCCAACCTGCACTGGCGTCTCTACGGGACCCGTCCGCTTCTCCTCCAAAGGCTCCGTCAGCGGGGATGGGCTGTCTACACCAGCCAGCTCTTCACCTTCTGTCGACTCCGCCTCCTCCTCAGGCGTTGGCGTCGTGAGAGGGCCAACCTGCACTGGCGTCTCTACGGGACCCGTCCGCTTCTCCTCCAAAGGCAGCGTCGGCGGGGATGGGCCGTCTACACCAACCAGCTCTTCATCTTCTGTCGACTCCGCCTCCTCCTCAGGCGCTGGCTCCGTTACAGGCCCAACCTGCACTGGCGTCTCTACGGGACCCGTCCGCTTCTCCTCCAAAGGCTCCGTCAGCGGGGATGGGCTGTCTACACCAGCCAGCTCTTCATCTTCTGTCGACTCCGCCTCCTCCTCAGGCGTTGGAGTCGTGAGAGGGCCAACCTGCACTGGCGTCTCTACGGGACCCGTCCGCTTCTCCTCCAAAGGCTCCTTCAGCGGGGATGGGCTGTCTACACCAGCCAGCTCTTCATCTTCTGTCGACTCCGCCTCCTCCTCAGGCGTTGGCTCCGTGACAGGCCCAACCTGCACTGGCGTCTCTACGGGCGCCGTCCGCTTCTCCTCCAAAGGCAGCGTCGGCGGGGATGGGCCGTCTACACCAGCCAGCTCTTCACCTTCTGTCGACTCCGCCTCCTCCTCAGGCGTTGGAGTCGTGAGAGGGCCAACCTGCACTGGCGTCTCTACGGGACCCGTCCGCTTCTCCTCCAAAGGCTCCGTCAGCGGGGATGGGCTGTCTACACCAGCCAGCTCTTCATCTTCTGTCGACTCCGCCTCCTCCTCAGGCGTTGGCGTCGTGAGAGGGCCAACCTGCACTGGCGTCTCTACGGGCGCCGTCCGCTTCTCCTCCAGAGGCTGCGTCAGCGGGGATGGGCTGTCTACACCAGCCAGCTCTTCATCTTCTGTCGACTCCGCCTCCTCCTCAGGCGTTGGCTCCGTGACAGGCCCAACCTGCACTGGCGTCTCTACGGGCGCCGTCCGCTTCTCCTCCAAAGGCAGCGTCGGCGGGGATGGGCCGTCTACACCAGCCAGCTCTTCACCTTCTGTCGACTCCGCCTCCTCCTCAGGCGTTGGAGTCGTGAGAGGGCCAACCTGCACTGGCGTCTCTACGGGACCCGTCCGCTTCTCCTCCAAAGGCAGCGTCGGCGGGGATGGGCCGTCTACACCAGCCAGCTCTTCATCTTCTGTCGACTCCGCCTCCTCTTCAGGCGTTGGATCCGTGACAGGCCCAACCTGCACTGGCGTCTTTACGGGACCCGTCCGCTTCTCCTCCAAAGGCTCCGTCAGCGGGGATGGGCCGTCTACACCAGCCAGCTCTTCATCTTCTGTCGACTCCGCCTCCTCCTCAGGCGTTGGAGTCGTGAGAGGGCCAACCTGCACTGGCGTCTCTACGGGCGCCGTCCGCTTCTCCTCCAAAGGCTCCTTCAGCGGGGATGGGCCGTCTACACCAGCCAGCTCTTCATCTTCTGTCGACTCCGCCTCCTCCTCAGGCGTTGGCTCCGTGACAGGCCCAACCTGCACTGGCGTCTCTACGGGCGCCGTCCGCTTCTCCTCCAAAGGCAGCGTCGGCGGGGATGGGCCGTCTACACCAGCCAGCTCTTCACCTTCTGTCGACTCCGCCTCCTCCTCAGGCGTTGGAGTCGTGAGAGGGCCAACCTGCACTGGCGTCTCTACGGGACCCGTCCGCTTCTCCTCCAAAGGCAGC